ATCAGGACGGCCACGTCACGTTCTTTTTTATGTCCGAGACTACTCTAAGAAACAATTCAACCCTATAGAATCAACATCTAAATTGGTCGGTCCTGGTACAAAAACAAGTCCCTATAGAATCACCAAAAACAAAAATCAGTTAGAGCGTTTTGATTCCAACTAGTGAGTCTGGAAACAACAGTCTTCAGACTCTGGCATGGCAAGAAAGTTTTATATAATTTCTTTATGTAAACGACTTCATTTGTTCACTTTTCCAGCTAGATCAAGACCAGGTGTGCCCTTTGCTTGTCTTGTGCACACAGGTGCTTCTGGTACTTTCGTGTCCAAAGTGAATACTCTCCACTATAGAATGCAAAACCTCACCATCAACTAGTCCTGAAAAGCATGAATCCCTATAAAAGCAATTTATGTAATACAGTATAATTTGTTTGCATGTGTCGCTAATGTTCTTGATACCAGGGTCGGTGCTTCACAACGCTATAGAATCAACATCTGAATTGATTGGTCCTGGTACAAAATCGAAGCCCTATAGCGCATGGATAAAACCAGAAATGAATAGCTGTTTAAAAGGTCTGCAGTATCCAAGTACAACCAAGATACTCTGCCTTGAAATACTTATAGGCGAAGGTCTTGATGTGCTTCCATGGAGTCCCCTCTGTCCCCTTGGATGTGATGCGGCGCAAGTCCTTCTCGGAGAACAACGGGTTGGATTTGAAGGCCTTAGCCTCAGCAATCTTGAGCTTCAGCAACTCCTTCTGGATCAGGTCATCACTGGCTGAGTTCTTCATCAAATTCTCGGCCGTAAAATCAATCTCAGGCTTCTCTGCTGGAGCGGGCTTCAATTTGATAGCCTTTTTCTTTATCTTTGCAAGCAAATGCTTTCTCTTCTTCTTGCCGGATTTGGACTTCTTGGATTTGCCCTTGGCTTCTTTCTCTTCTGTCTCGGTCTTGTCTGTCTTTTCGACCAAGGCGCTCTCTGGATTCTTCTTTGCGTTGGTATCATCTGTTGAGGCTCCTCCCTTGCCTTGTCCACCTTTGCTTGTGTCTTTGGCTTTTCGCTTCCTCCCTTGCCGTGGAAGAACAACATTCATGCGGAGATCGAGCTCCTCCTGAGGCCATTGAGAAGCCAAATCATCCATGCTCTCGATCAACTCCACTGCCTTGGAGGAAAATGCCACAACCAAGCTCTCATCGGAATCCTGAACCGTCTCAAAATCCAGCAACGCCATCGTGGCCTCTGGACGAAGAACCAAGGTTGCTGACTTGCCGCAGCATGTCCAGCGGTTGGACTGATCATCATCGGTGGTCTTTGATAGCTCCACAGCTTTGTAGGCAAGTACGTGTGGAAGGCCAAGAGCTGAGGCGCACAATTTTGGTTTCCTTGCGGATCTCCATATTGAAGTCACCAAGCAGACTTTGGGTTCTCGGCAATTCCCGTGGCGAGTTCGTTTCGGCACAATCGCAATGACAATGTTCCCATTCCTTGACTTCGAAGCAGAATGAAAACATGTATAAAATAGATTAACATATATTAACATATCTGAAACTAGTATAAAATAGTATTAATTATATGATATTATATGCATGTATAATCATGTATACACCAGTATTGTCAAAAAAAAAGCACCCGCCTATAAAATCAAGAACTCTTTGCTACTTCAATGAAACGTCTATAGAATCAAAAACATGAGAAAGTCTCTGTGAAGGTCAAAGGCAAGCGACTCCAGTTTCTCTGGGACATCCTCCTTGGAACTTGCCAGCGCAGTGCGAGCTGCTAGCTTCCACTTCTCCAAGCGACTTGCCCTCTGGCGAAACTCTGTGCTGTTCTGCTCCTGGTTGATCTCGCGAAGAATGCGTTCATTGTACCTCAAACATTCAACAAAGAACTGCAGGTGTACGCCGTGCGACATATATAACATATTATAGCATTTAGGTGCCTCATGTTTCATCTAGAATCGAATAGAATATTTAAAGAAAAAAAAGTAGTATAAAATGATAAAAATCACCTTCAGTTTAGAAAAATAGCTCTAAAGAGTTTCAGAAATCATACCAGCGACTGGTACCAGGAGAGTCCAGATGATGCCCTTCTGCAAGACCTTGGGTTATTTACCCACAGCCTGTCGCCTCCACCACACCAGTACCGCTGGTACATCAGCAGCCTCCAAAGTCGATCCCAAATGTTGGACGCCTTGAGAGCATCGGGGTCTTGGAAGACTGCATCATGCAAGGTCTTGGGCACCGAAGTTGGATCGAAGTCAGGGCTCTCAGTGCCCTTTGCAAAAGGCTTCATTGGGCTTGTGGGTTCATGAGCCACTAGGTTCAACAGCTGCTCCTTGTCTGGCACATTCCGGAGATCCAAGTCGATCATTGTTGATCTATGACGTTCGCCATTGTCTTCATCTGGAGCTCCAAGTTCCCCCATTGACTCTTCAATCTCACGGAGGACGCGCTGGCAATCATCTAGCTTTTCCAGCTCTGCTTCAGGGTCCTCCTCCTCCTCCTCCAAATCCACCTCATCAGGTGACACGGCTGTATAAGGGTCATTGAGGCGCCCAGATTCACACCATTCATTGTACATGTCTCTGAGGGAAGCAACTGTTACTGCACTGGTGTGGGCAACAAGGGCTAAAGCCGCTTCCATAGCCCTCTCGCTGCAGGCTTTGAACTCCTCGTCGCTCAAAGGCAGCTGCTTCTGCTCTGGAGGTGGGGCTTTGTCGTCTTCACGAACCCTGGCAGCCTTGAAAGTCCTCAGCGTTTCCCGTGCGGCCGCCTGCCAGTATCCTCGAGAGGACAAACTTGCCGAGGCAGATTGGATTCGTAGCCTGCCAAACCACTGTTCGATGGCCAGTTCAGTCATCCTAGCATTTCCGCGGGTGTATGGATTTCCGCTTTCATTCTTTGACAATGCCACCATGATTGTGCTCATGGCAGTCAATTGCAAATTCTCTTGCGTTTGTGGGGAGATGAACTGAGAACCACGTGGAAATCCATTCCGGGAAGTTGAGATCTCCGCAATGACCTTGTACAGGTCCAAGACCAGAAATCCTTCCATTGATGACTGAACTCGCTGGCTGATGGTCATGCCATGATGCATAGTCGGAGCCTTAGGAACCCCAAGCACAAAGTTCATATTTGGTGAACTTTATTCACTATAGAATCAATTATACTTACAAAGTGAAAGTACAAACACTATAATATCATAACATTGTATTTAACAATTGTTGAACATATATTTAAAACATGTTAAAACATTTTAAAACAATACTATCAAATAAAATCGATCCACGTTAAGTGATGCTCAGGTGCAGTGGACAAGGTTCCGCATACGTTCAGCAACACAAAGCCCCGTAGAGGCCAAGGAACTCGTGCTCGCTGGTCCGCAACATCCTGAACCGTTGATGAAATCAATTTTATAGAGACAGGATGATACAGGTTTGTTTGAACATTGGTTGTTTATATATTTTATAGAGGAAAGTAGAAACCATGAAAATGCTATAAAATGCCAAAAAACAATGTCTGGCACGACCAGGTAAGGGTTCCACATCACTGTGTTGAGAAGGTCGGACATCGGTTCTGCTCTGCCGTAGGCACTTGAGGGCATACCATAGCTCAGGCATTTGGTGTGATCGACAAAAAATTGTCCCATCAGCAGGTTTCGAATCGGAGTGCACATTTGTCCCGCCAAATTTTTTGAGGAATGACCTCCGGATTGCAGGATCTTCTTACTATAAAATCAACAAAACATATGAATGACATATTTGACCACTATAAAATTATAAATCAACAACTATAATATTGTATACTATACAATGTTTATATATTTTTATAGGATTTTATAGGAAATTAAAGGAATCTGTCGCTATATCTGACATTATCTGACCATTTACTTCATTTTTCTCCCGGTGAATGTCATGTCACGTAGCTATAGAATGAACAACTCACAATAAATATAAAAACAAACAATAAAATATCATTAAACAAAACTGACAAAGCACACGGACCAGGTAGTGGCCACACAGCTGAGCCTTCATGAAGGCAAATCTGCGCCGGTAGTCGCGGTAGACTGTGTGGTGGCAAAGCT